CGGGATGGCCCTGGACGTAGTCAGGAAATAAGCAGTGTTTGAACACAGTGACATTTTAGCCACTGAGCCAATGGGGCCTGTGGCCGGTGACCCTAATGACGACCTCAGAAGAAGCGCCAGGTGGGGTGGGGATGGTGGAAGCCCCTGCACCCTGACCCTGTTCCCTTAGCAGAAGCACTGGGCAGGGCAGCTGAAGCCCTGGTACCCCTGCCCCACTGGCCATGGCAGAAGCACTGTGTGGGGCAGGAAAAGGCCCAGCACCTGAACCTTGCGGAGGCCCTGGGACTGCAGGAGCTCTTCTCCCAGCCATGGCCTCAGAGCTGGCTAAGCTCTTATTCCACACTGGGGACCTGGTGGGCAGATAGCACTTCTCTGGTCCCAGGTGAGGGGAAAAGGAAAGTAAACAGGTTGTGGGCTGTAGTGGAGCAGGGGCAAAATGTGAGGGGATTGTGGGTAGAACAGTGGTGGGGCTGCGAAACAGGGTCAGAATGAGGTAGGGATGTGGGCAAGGCTGCACGTGGAAAGTGTGGAAGAGCAGCAGGACCATAGGTGGAAAGGGTGGAGAGGCTCTCCTTTGCTCTGGCCCAGGGCCCCACCAAACCTTAATCTGCCTGTTTGGACCCACTCCCCAGAAAGGTTTTGCCACTCACTTTGGTGGTGAACAGGGCATCCACATCATTCCAGGCTCGCAGCTTGGCACGGGCAGCCAGGGCTGTCAGCATATACTGTTTGTCTGGGATCTGCAAGGCAGAGACACTGAATGGTAAGCATGAGAACATAGTCTGGGGTGAGGAAACAGGCAGCGCCACCCCCTCAACAGACAGCATCATCTACTCAGCAGGCAGCAAGTCAGCTGCTAGGAGGAGATGGTACTGTCCAAACTTCAGCACAGCAGTGTATGGAGGGTCACACAAAGGATCTGCTCCTCCTGTTGAGCCAGCAAAGCCAGCCGCATGCCACAATGACTCCAGGGAGCATGCCACACAGTTAGATGGCATGGAAGAAGCTCCCAGCAGGACTGGTTGCAGCAGGATGAGACTAGCAATAGACTGCTTGTGGGGAGAGCCCGTTTTCCCCTCCAAGCCATGAGAAGTGAGATAGGTCACTCAAGCACCAAAGCCAGGTAAGGCCAGGGGAGTTAACCGCAGTTAAGGGAACAACCTCACAGAGCTTGGAGTTCAAATCCAGGGGCAAGGGTTCCTGTAACCAGGGATCCCAGTGGGTCCTCACCCCCCAGGTTCCCACAGAACTTCTTCTAGCAAGCTCTTGCAGCCAAGTTTCTGCCCTTGGCCTCCAAGATGGTCCAGCTTCTAGGCCAATTTTCCCCTCTAAGCCAGATAGGTCACTCAAGCACCAAAGCCAGGTAAGGCCAGGGGAGTTAACCGCAGTTAAGGGAACAACCTCACAGAGCTTGGAGTTCAAATCCAGGGGCAAGGGTTCCTGTAACCAGGGATCCCAGTGGGTCCTCACCCCCCAGGTTCCCACAGAACTTCTTCTAGCAAGCTCTTGCAGCCAAGTCTCTGCCCTTGGCCTCCAAGATGGTCCAGCTTCTAGGCCAGGCCAGGCCAAAGCAAAGGTCTCCACAGAGTTCACCTCTTACGTAACAACCATATCTAATCCAGGGGTGGGCAAAAGGGCCTCAGCAAGCCAGAGGGGAGAGCGGAGGAGGCTTTGCATGCTCCCCCGCCCCAGGTCAATCAGAGCCTGGGGGTGGGGGAGCTGCATGAAGCTTCCTTCACCCTTTCCCGGCCCTGCGAGGAGCCCGCAGCACTTCAAAGTACCACGTGGTCCTGCAGGGTGGGAGGAGGCTTTCTGCGCTTCCCCGCCCCCAGATCCTGATTGGCCTGGGGATGAGGGAGCATGCCAAGCTTTTTCCAGCGCATGAGGGCCTAGTGGGAAGAAGGAGGCAAAGGGGCTTCCCCACCCCCAGACTAATCAGACCCACCCCGGGCAAAAATTATTGCCCATCCTGATCTAATCCCACTTCCCTTCTATCTTCTACTTCGGACAGGACTCAGTCTCTCAATTTCCTTCCTCCCAGGCACTAGTCCAGCCCCCAACTCTGCTGCCTGCATTTTTACTGATGCTGTCACAGAAACCCACCCCCACCAAGAATAAGACCCTACTCAGATTGCACTCCTTACCTTAAAGGTTTTCTTCAGGTTGGTCGGGCTGCTGAATGTCCCCTGAAGAGAGAGCTACTTCGGACAGGACTCAGTCTCTCAATTTCCTTCCTCCCAGGCACTAGTCCAGCCCCCAACTCTGCTGCCTGCATTTTTACTGATGCTGTCACAGAAACCCACCCCCACCAAGAATAAGACCCTACTCAGATTGCACTCCTTACCTTAAAGGTTTTCTTCAGGTTGGTCGGGCTGCTGAATGTCCCCTGAAGAGAGAGAGATGACAGGGCTTAGCCTTTTCAGCTCTTGGGCCCCCTGCCTCTTATAAGTCTACACCACAGACAAGGAGTGACTCTCCCAGCTCAGGTACACACATTCATGGCAGCAAAGCTCATGCTCGTGCACTAAAAATAGAAACATACATGTTCCAGCTCAGGCTTTGAAGCGCACAGGGTCAAATGGCTTCAGACTCAACCTCCACCCAAGCCAGAACATCCACACTGCTATTTTTAGTGGACTAGTTTGAGCCCAACTAGAGTAAGTCTGTTTATCCAAGTTAGGCAGCTTCAGTGTAGACATGGGGGCCGGATGTAGCCCCTGGCTTGCCTGCATCCGGCCCCCAAGGCCCACAGCTCCGCCCCTAGCATTGGGGAGCTCGCACCTACTACGGGACTGGACCACACAAAGTCTACTAGCCTGGCCCCACATTAGGTTCTGGTGTACAAGGGGAATGAGGGGTGTGTCTTTCGCCTTCATAGTTAGGGGCCACATCAGTGAGGGTTTTTTTTTGTTTGTTTGTTTCTCACTATGTGTGCAACCCCTGACTGATTTTTCTGTGCCTCCTTGACCCAAACAAAGTTCCCCACCCCTGGCACGGACACATCCTGACAGACAAGCCTCCTGTTTGCCACTACCATTGCACATTACCAAGGCTAATGCTAGATTGGAAAATGAAGGTTCCAGACAGAAGTGACCCTCCCACCTCCCACCTCCCATGCTATTTGTGGCAGGGTTTCCCACACCTCTAGTCTAGGGCCCTCACACATACTTTAAAGACCACCTGTCTCACATATGGCCCTGAAAAAGTTACAAGCTAAGTTAACCCCTTAGACACTGGATCCAGAAGATGCTTTCTCTGATATGGCAGCACTTCTGTGATGGCTGCCATAGCAGGCAGTATGGCCTTCTAATGCTGTCCCCACATTTCTTATGTCTCCCATGAAGTGTCAGAATTCCATAAAATGTGAGGACCGTTCTGGAAGGTTGAGGAAACTCTCTGGAGATTGCGTGTGAGAATGTATGTGTGGGGGTGGGGTGGGGGGGAGTTTGTAAATGGAGGGTAATTGTTTCATCCTCTTCCTTTACCAGTGTGCCAACACTATTAGTTGAGCAGTGTGGCTGAGGGGCACTGGACTGGGACTCGGGAAATACAGGTTTAGTCCTGGGTAGGCCATTGGTCTGCTGTGAGACACAAGTCACTGCACCTCTCCGTGCTTCATTTTTTCACCTGTAAAACAGGGGTAGTGACACTAAAGTCCCTTTTAAAGTGGTTTAAGATCTACTGATGAAAAGCACAAGATAAAGTCAGACATTATTTAGTGACTGGTACCCAGGGCTTCAGCACTGAATTCCAACCCCCTCCTCATCTCACTGTTGCCCTCACCTCAGCTTCTGTGTAGTGGTAGAAGCAGGAGTAGAATAGCGTGGTCACCAGTGGCATGTTGAGGATTGAGGCCTTTCGTGGGTATTTCTTAAATATCTCTGACTGCCCAGAAGACTCCAGATGCCGGTCATTTGCCTAGAAAAGTAGTTTGAAAAAGACTGCATGAAAATCAGGACAGTCACAGTTTGCTTGCCCAATTCCTAGAAGATAAGGGCTGCCTGGCCCAGTTTCCATAAAACTAGTAGACCAGGTGCCAGCTTTTGCCAATGCTGCAGGCGTCAGCTAAGCACTGACAAATTCATAGCTGGAAAGCAGACCAGCTCACCTGTATGTTACTATTGCTCAAGACAGGTGTTAGACTAGAAATGCTAAAGTTCAATTAACCATCTAATTGAGTAGCTGATGGAATTTTCACCAAATACTCAATTAGTCAATAAGGCAGTTGGCTTGCTATCCCGCTGCCTCCCTTTAAAATGTACATGAGCCACCCAGAGGCAGCTCTTGTACATTTCAAAGGGAGAAGAGCAGCAGTCGGGACTGGCACCAGCAGGACTGTTTCAATCCCCGCTTGTGCCATTTCCCCATGCCCCTTGCGAAGACAGTGCTGGGAAGAACTGGCTTTTAAGCTGGCTCCCCCCAGCATCAGCTCCTGCTCCCTGCCTTGCTGCCTCTGACAGAGGCTGCAAGGGTGGGGAAGCAACGAGTCAAGTTCCTACTCGACTACCCAATAAGCCAGTGTTTCCCAATTTTATTTGGCTGAGGAACCCTTTTCAGCTTTTCAAAATTTCAAGGAACCCCTAGGTTTGTCAAGCAAAAAAAAAAGGGGGGAGGGCGGGGAAGGAGAAAGGGACCCACCAATTCATGAAATTCATATTCCTTCCCCAAGACTCCCTGCCCCCCCATCTCCCTTCTGTGAGGCCTCATCCGCTCTGTTCCCCTCCTCTCCATCACTTGCTATCCCCAGCCCTTATACCTGTCTCAACCTATGAGAGTGAGGTGTGGGGTGGGAATGAAGGATTTGGGTGTGGGAAGGGGTGAGAAGTACAAGCTCTGAGAGAGAATTTAGATGCAGGAGAAGGGGCTGTTGACTCAGGGAGGGGACTCTAGGCTGCGGAGTGTTGGGTTCAAGTGGAAGTTTGGGGTGCTGAGCAAGCCAGGGCTTGTTGATATGAGGTTGCAGGAGTTTGGGCTGGATATGTGAGGGACTCAGGACAAGAAGTTTGTGAGTATGATGGGCTCAGGACACAGATTTGTGATGTGTGGATGGTGGAGGAATGTTGTGGCAGAAGACTGAGGATGTGGGGATGTAAGAGGCTCAGGACAGGGGGTTCCAGTGTATGAAAGGCTCAGATCTGGGGTCAGGTGGTGCAGGAGTGTTATGATGCTGCAGTGAAATGGGGGTTTGGTCCCAAATGGGGGCTTGTTGGCCTGGCTTCATTTTTAAATAAAATATGTCAAACTCAAAAGGTTTTGAAGCAAAATGCAGGACAATGTAGCACTTTAAAGACTAACAAGATGGTTTATTAGATGATGAGCTTTCGTGGGCCAGACCCACTTCCTCAGATCAAAAAAAATGTTTTAGCATTGTCTTTATATGTGAGAGGGGTGAGGAACCTGTTTTGAGTCAAAGGTCATTGACCCACAGAAAAGTCAGTTGGGGCACACAAGTGAGATGCAAAAAAACAACAACAAAAAAAGCTCCTCCAAAAACCCCAAGCCTCACTAATGTGGTCCCAAATGTGCTGGTGGGGGTAGGGGACAGAGTGATAGTGGGGGCTGGGGATAGGGTGCTGCGGCAAAGTGCTGGGACAGGCAGGTGGCAGAGTGCTGGGGTCAGGGACATGGTCCTGCGGGGCACTAGGGTGACTGGCAGGGTGCCAGGACAAGGAACAGGGTGCTGCTGGGTGCTAGCGTGGATGGCAGGGTGCTGAGGCCGGGGCCAGGGCCAGGGCGGTGCTGAGTCCTGGGGTGTGAGGCAAGGTGCTGGGGCCAGGGCGGTCCTAGGTTGGATGGCAGGGCTGCCAAGGAGCGGGATAGGGATGGGATGCAGGATCTGGGAGGCGGGAGGAGACACGGTCTAAAGGAGACAAGGTCTGGGTGGTAGGTAGGGTGCAGAAGCAAGCTGGATGTAGGGTGTCTGGCTACGAGGGAAGGTGCGAGGAGGGGACTTGGGTAGGAGTTGGACCTCCCTGATCTGGCACCCTCTAGACCGGACTGGTCCAAGATGAGGAATTTTTGGACCAGGGGAGGTCATTTCAGGGCTCCTGGTCTCCCTGCCTCTTCCCCACTAGGCTTCTTTGCACCGCTATCCCATGCAACCAAACTAAGCTGCCCACCCCTGCTGGTTCCCTGCACTTCCCCCAAAACCATCCCTCACAATCCAAGGGAGTGCAGCACCAAATCCCTGCAGCCCAGCTGAGCTGCCCTTCTGTTCTGTATGTCCTCCCCCATCCACCTCAGCCCAGCTGAGCCCTGCACTGGTTCCCTGTATGCCTCCCCCACAGCACAGCTGAGCCCCGTTTCCCTGCACCTCCTCCAAGCCCCACAAAACTGCTGAGCCAAGAGCCCATTCCCTGTCCCTCCCTCCCCTTGAGTCTAGCCCCGGTTCCGGGCACCTCCCTCCGCCTGCAGTCAAACCAAGCTCTGAGCTCCACACATTCCCCCAAAACTATCCCTCACAATCCAAGGGAGTGCAGCACCAAATCCCTGCAGCCCAGCTGAGCTGCCCTTCTGTTCTGTATGTCCTCCCCCATCCACCTCAGCCCAGCTGAGCCCTGCACTGGTTCCCTGTATGCCTCCCCCACAGCACAGCTGAGCCCCGTTTCCCTGCACCTCCTCCAAGCCCCACAAAACTGCTGAGCCAAGAGCCCATTCCCTGTCCCTCCCTCCCCTTGAGTCTAGCCCCGGTTCCGGGCACCTCCCTCCGCCTGCAGTCAAACCAAGCTCTGAGCTCCACACACACACGCCCCCCGCCCCACAGCCCAGCCCCCAGACCTCCCCACTCTGCAACCCAGCTGAGCTCAATTTCTCTGCACCTTCCCCCAAACCATGTAGACATGCTGAGCCAGTGCTGATTCCCTGCCCCTGCCTTCCTCCCTCCCCTTGGCTGTGTCTACACTGGCACGATCTTGCGCCAAAGCGGCTGCTCTTGCGCAAAAATTTGCTGCCTGTCTACACTAGCCGTGTGTTCTTGCGCAAGTACACTAACGTTCTCATGTATGAAATAAGGGCTTCTTCCACAAGAACTACGATGCTCCCACTCAGGAATAAGCCCTTTTGAGCAACTATTCTTGCGCAAGAGGCCAGTGTAGATAGGCAACATGAATTTCTTGAGCAAGAAAGCCCTATGGCTAAAATGGCCATTGGCACTTTCTTGGGCAAGAGAGTGTCCACACTGCCATAGATGCTCTTGTGCAAAAGCACAGCTCGCACATGGAAGAGTGGATGTGTTCTTGCACAAGAAACAACCCGTGTAGACATAGCCTAAGAGTTTCCTTACATGAGCAAAATGAATTTTGTGTTGTGCACCAGTATTGAGTTAATGTGGCTTTTTTTGATGTGCCACCCAAGTTATTAATAAATATTTTTAAACCTCTACCTTTTCCCTCTGCTGCCATGTCAGCTCCCCTGGTGCCTGCTGCCCCCCTACTCCTCACCCTCCTCTGCTGTCCTGACTCCTGCTCTTCTCACTGTCCTCAGCCCTCCTGCAACCTGCCCCCCT